CTGTAGCAGGGTTCTCACGGATCCAGTCTTACGTCAAAGGAGTGAAGCTTTGACGGAAGCTATACCGGAAATCTTACTACTGGTTAGGGACCGCTCGGGCATGAAGGAGGGCGTACCGAACCAGAAGGGTGATGAGATTACTAGCGACGAGACAAGGTAACTCGACCTAGGGGGGGGTTTGGGGGGGGGGGCAAAATAGAAAGCAATTCGTGTAACAAAAGGGGTTCGAGAGGAAGCCTTAGAACAGATGTTCGCAGGCTGGGCTGAGACTCTGTCAGGTTGTCTTAGCATACAAGCGTATACTTCAACATCGTCAACATAGTCAACATCGTCATAGCTGCTAAGGTCTTCGCTCTCAGGAGGCTCCCGCAGGGAGTCCCCCTTTTGACCTTGGGTTGGTCGTGGGGTGGATCTGAGAACCCCGCGCGCACGCGTGTCTCCCTCCTTTCCTGGGCCACCGAACTGGCCCGGTACTCGGCGGCCATCTGGCTGTCGATCTACCCCGCATTCCTCCTGAGGAGGAATGCCATTCAAGCATGCCATAATCTCCCACGGGGCCGTTCACGTGGGGATCTTGTAATTCAACCTGTGACTTGGTTTATAGAGATTGGGGGATACCACTACACATGCCACCCTCCGGGAATGTCGCGTGACCACGCTCGGCCCTCTCCAACAGCAGACACGGGTTAAAAAGGGACACGTGCCTCCCTCAAGGTGCCAACGCCCTGCGTGCTTACGCCGCGCTCCACGTTCTTGGTGGGTCTTTTTTGGTGTGTGTGCGCGCGCGCGCGCCGACCAGCCGGCCCGGACGGCCGAGAGTTGGCAAGTGCCGCGGTCATGGAAACCTACCCGGCCGATAATATGCTATGCGCGGGGCTCACTCCGGCTCTTCGCCCACCCTTGCTTCCTGCCCCGGGCCTCCGCCGGGGGCGGCGCCCCCGGGTGGGGGGCGGAGGTCAGCGCTGGGTGCGCATCTTGCCGGGTCCCGGGCCCCCCGGCCCCCGGCCCCCGGCTCCCGCCCCCGCCCCCGCCCCCCCTTTCCCCACCGGCACAGGCGGAGCAGGGAGGGGGGGGTACAGGGCACAGGGAGGATGTCCTCGCCCCCTGGACCTCGTTCCCCCTGCCCCCGCTTCGGCGTCTCGCGCGCTTTTCGCGGGTCTCGTCCACATTAATTCCGCGCTTGAGCACGCAGGCCGGGGCGCGTGCGCCGAAACCGAAGCATGTCGCCGTGTGGCCGAGTCGTCCTTGCGTTTGGGCGCTTGCATGCCTGTGCGCGTCTCTGGGTTCGGCCGTGTCTCCGCGCTCTTGTTCCCCGCCCCCCGCCCCCCCGCCGGTTCCCCCGCCCCCCCCCCTTCGCCCCCCGGGGCGCCTTAGGATCTAGGGTGCGCCGGCCCCCGAAATAACCGCTGCACCCACCGCGGCCGCGCGCGACGCGAGATGAGGTGCCGATCTGTGCCGGGGCCTCTTCCCCAGCCGCCCAGACATGGATGGGGGCGGGGGAACCGGCGGGCGGTCGAATTCCTGGCGATCGGTGCACGCGTTTTAGCCCAAGCCGGGGGTCTCTCTCTCTCTCTCTCTGCCTCTCTCTCTCTGCCTCTCTCTCTCTCTCTCTCTCTCTCTCTCTCTCTTCTGGTCCTCCTCTTGTCCCCAAGAAGCGGTGGGCAGGTCGGCACGAAGCCCGGGACACGCAGGGAGCGGCACAGCCACGGCCGACGACCAGGAGGACGGGCCCCGGCGCGGACTGAGGGAGATCTCGCGCCGCCCGGGCCCCAGCGCAGAAAGGGAGAGAGCCACACCCCGGGGCCGCCGGCTCCTGGCAAGCTGGGGCATAGCAAACGAGACATGTGCCATCCCTTTCCGTGGACATGCTTTTTGTCAAACATTCCTCTCTCTCGCGCAGGGATCTCCTCGCGCCAACAACCGCCTCCCCTTCGCTCCTTCCGTTGTTTGCCTGCCACCCCCCCCTCCACCCTTCCCCGCTCCCTCCGCGCTGCCTCCCTGCTTCCCCGCACTTGCTTCCGTCTCCCCGAGACACACGCGCACCCTGCCCGCTTGCCGCACGGCCGCGCCTTGTGCCCCTCCCCGCCCGACCTCCCCTGCCTGCTTCCTCTTCTCCCCTCTCTTTCTCTTTGATTCTCCCTCCTGCCCCTCCCCCTCCTCTCCTCCTCCTCCTCCTTCCCGCCGCCGCCGCCGCCGCCCTCGTCCGCCGGTCCACATCTATGTCTTAAATTGAGCCGATGACCGCCCTTCCGCTGGACATCAGCGAGGCCCTCCGTCAATGTGAGCTCTCCTTCCGGGAGGGGCTCATCACGCGGCGCGGTTTGCGCTTTTTCCGGGCGCGCGAGCTTTCCAAGGCCGTCGGCATCAGCCCCGATGCCAATGGTGCGTCCTCTGCTCTCTCTCTCTCTCTCTCTCTCTCTCTCCCCCCCCCCTCTCTCTCCCT